GAGGACAATTGAGCCGTCTCAGAGGCATTCACAGTGAACAACAGAGTGAAGCAGGGCTACGGCCTTGCGCACACCCTCTTCAGTCTCATGTTCGCTGTCGTGCCAATGGACGCCTACCGTGAAGGACGTCTCGGGATCCGCGCCACCTATAGGACGGGAGGCCAACTCCTCAATCGGAGGAGGATGCACTTCCAGTCACGTGTTTGCACAACTACCTTCCATGAACTTCTCTTCGTCGTCGACTGTGCTCTCAACGCCACCTCCGAAGGGGACATTCAAAGGATCACAGATCTCTTCGCCGCCGACTGCGACAACTTCGGCCTGATCATCAACACGGAGAAGACGGTGGTCATACATCAACCGCCCACCCGACGCTGTCTACTTCGCACCCCAAATCAAAGTCATAGACAACTTCACCTACCTTGGCAGCATTCCATCTCGCAACACCAAAATCGATGACTGGCTCGCCAGATTTCCAAAGCCAGTCAAGCCTATGGCCGTCTGCAAAGCGCAGTTTTTAATCGACACGCTCTCCACAACAGCACCAAGCTGAAGATGTACAAAGCAATCATCCTGCCAACGCTGCTGCATGGAGCGGAGACTTTGACGGTGTATACGAAGCTGGCGCGAAGACTCAACCACTTCCACCTCAGCAGTCTCCGACGGATATTGAAACTGAGGCGGTGACCGGATCCCGGACACGGATATACTGGAGCCGACGGGAAACCTCGGTATCTACGCCATGCTGAGACAACTGCAACTGCGCTGAAGCGGCCATCTGGTGCACATGAGCGACGAGTGGTTACCGAGACGACTCCTCTATGTGAAGATGTCGCCACGGGTTTCCGCCGACAAGGAGGCCAGGTCGGGCGCTACAACGATAATCTGAATACCTCCCCGAAGCGCCTGCAAACCGACCAGGCTAACTAGGAAAAACTCGTTCGACCGACCGACCTGGCGGAGGACAGTGAAGACCGGCGCGGCAATCTGCGAAGCCAACCGAATCATTGCGGCCAAAGCCGAACGTAAGGCTCGCAAACCTCAACTGCGTGTCCACTTCCCAACGCCAAAAACCAACCGTCCCCAGGCTGATCACGATGTCAGCGGACGTTCCGGGCACCAATCGGTCTTATTGGACATCTTCGAACCGACTGCAGCACCCGGAAGACACTACCCGATTCCGCCCGTCCACCTTTGCCTTGCCCCCCACTTCTAAAATCAACCCTATCCGCGATCTCCATCCCCCGCTGCCTCAAAACCTGCGGCGGCAGCTCCTGCTCCCACCAACACCTCACATAATTCCGATGCACCGCCAAACATTAGCCTCACCACCGCCAAGAGCAGTGATGTGGACAGAGTCCAAACCTGCCGTCGTTGTGATCGCACTTTCACCTTAAATATCGGCCTGGTCGGTCACTTGCAAATCCATCGCAGAAAGACTGGTGAACCAGTGCCTGAAGCTCCAACTTGCATTCGCCTCCACTGTCCTCCCTCACATTCCCTCGCCGCATGGGCCTATTAGGTCGCATGCGCATTCATGAAAACTTACAGTGGACAACTGTCGGCTACACCACACCATCACACCCTCCCCCACCAGGACCTGCACCATAAGTAAAAAATGTGCTTCTCGAGTCCCTCTCAATGTGACGGTGTCCCCCGTGTGCGCCACAGCAGGGTAAGCGCAGAGATGGATACTCGTATGTTAATTAATTTATAGTTATAGTGGGCTTTTGCTGCCTCTCGCACTCCGTCCTCCCTTACCCTCCGGGGCCCGATGGCAATACATTCAAGAGCGGAGGCGGGATCTGGCGCAGGTTTCGGGCGACTGACTGGTTACCCAGCCTTTGAAAGATGATGGCCCAGGCTAAATACACGGTTGCGTTTCACCCTGCAGGGTATCAAGGAATGTGAGCGCCTGCTATGCTAGAGATAGTTGTCGCCGCCATCTTTGTCGCGGGGTTTGTAGAATGGATGGAGGTAGCGGTAATAGACGACCGCAGGCCATCAGGTGGGGTCATCGGTGGCGGTGGTGGCCAAGGAGGTGTGTGCGCGGAAGCAGTAAGTGGAGTCGTCCGATTGTTGGTGCATCGAGCCCGCAGATGTCCAACGAGGCGCACCCACGCGCGGAATGTTCCCTGAGGACAGGGATATATTGCAGGGGGGTTGTTCGTGGGCGTTCTGCGTCAGAGGCGCCTGAGAGTTGCGAGCCGCTTTTTCGGCATGGACAACAACGATCTGGTTGATTGTATCTACACGGCAGTCCGGCCGTCGTTTCCGACGGTGTCCCCCGTGTGCGGCGCAGCAGCGTGGACGCAGAGACGGTGACTCGTATGCTAATTAATTTATAGTTATATTGGACTTTTGCTGCCTCTCGCACTCTATCCTCCCTTTCCCTCCCCCCCCCGAGCCCGATGGCAATACAGTCAAAAACGGAGGCACGATCAGGCGCAGGTTTCTGGCGCGGCGTGAGCCCGCGCCTAGGCGTGCCGGCACTCTCCTTCTCCCCCCCCCCTCCCGCATGTCGGACCCCATCTAGCTGCCGTTTAGTCCAGCTGAACCTGCACACACCGCTGCGAATTGAACGCTGGCGAGGTCGGATTAAGTCTATGCCAACTCCCAGACAGAGGCCTTCTGCTTGTGGGGCAATTATGAATGCTGAGGAGCGTTCTCGGTCCGGAAACCCGGATAGTGCGAGCCGAATACGCGCAAGACAGTTCGACCGTTGATTTCGATGATGCCCATCGTGTTCGAGAAGGGCGAGTTGAGGAGTCACGTACAGAACGGGCAGCATCGCCTACAGGTGTGGGTGCTTCCCCATACAAAGAGTAGGCGGCAGCGGCGCAGGAGAAAATGAAGGGGGCAACTCATTCAGGCGAGGCCGGGGAACCCGGTTCGATATCACCGTTACAGAAGTTGTAAACGAGGACAAGGAGAAGACAAATGAGATTCAAAAGAAACCTCTTCACTCAGAGCAGCGTCTTCTTCATTCTCATTCTCTTTTTACAAAGCAGTTAAATAAATAAATGAGGGGACATCTACCTGATTTATATCGACCAAATCGACAAACTAGAGACAAAGGCA